CTAGTACTATTACTGCTACTACTACTACTGTTACTACTACTACTACTGCTGTTGCTACTACTACTAATACTACAACTATAACTATTACTAATAGTAATAATAATAATAACAACAACAAATGAAATTAAAACACAAAAAAATAAAAACTCATTCAAAATATGAAAACGCTAAACTTGAAACGACACGCCATCACAATGAAATTAGATGCAGAATTTTAAAAAAATTTGCAATTGAGATATAATTCATATAACATATTATAAGTAATTAACTTAAAATTATACCAGATACGGTATTTCTAATTGGCTCTCAATTGTACCGAAATTTCGGTTACATTACATCGAGTCTGTATTTTTTTAGTAATTCCAAAAAATATCAGATACTGGGACGAGAACACCAACATGCGGCAGATGTAGAATAAAATCCCTAAATAATAATAACGCAAGTAACAACAATAATAATAACAATAATAAAATAATAATAATGAATAATTATGTATGCGTTTATCGAGGTTTTTTTTTATAAATCACGAGGCAATGGGAGGTTGTTTGGTCGAATAAGTAATTTTGTTATCTTTTATTATATCCGAAAGTTTCATATATACATCCTCTGTTGGTCAGTTCTTATCAGATCAGACACCGAAAATAGAGGAGTGTTTTAACCTTTTTGCCAGCACTGTATTCTGATATACAGGACAGACGTAGAATACAATGCATTGCTTGTTAATTGTTATAGTTATGGTGATGTCAATTAATTCCACGCCCGCTCAATTGCTTGGTGGATGGATTGTTAGAAATACTAATGATCAGTCGGTAGGTTACTTAATTTTGTCTACTTAGTTTTTTGTTTAAAGATTAGGAATTTAACGTAAAATGAACAACAGTTTTCTTGGTGTAGATATCATTCATTTGAAAATTATCTCAATTAACTGGTATAAGACGTGTTGACTCAGATGTTTTTATACGCGCTGTGTGTTTGTTGTTGATAATTTAAATATAAAAATTTTAAACTAATCTATATATTTTTTTGTTTAATTCAAATTTAACTTGTCTAAATCGACAGATTCGAAGTGTATCTTCAAAGGTTGTTGACTTGTATAGCACCAAACTCAACGCCGATAGCGTTATCAAATTGGTTAAAGTCATCCGAGCCAAATCCCAAGTACGTCACAAAATTTTTGGATAAATTTTGGTGAATTTAAAAAATCTGTAGAGATGAATTTTTTTAGGTAGTTGCTGGAGCGAATTATGATTTGATGTTGATGGTTGGTCAGTTTGGATGTGACAGCCGGCAGTACCAGACCTCTCCTAATTCCTGTGTTGCTGAAAAAGTTTGTCTCTCACTTAAAAACAGTTATTTAAATGATCTTTTGTGACGTCATTATCACACCAAGACCCCAAAGTCTTTTTATTCTTTCTTGCTCTTTTTAAACCCTTCTCAAAAAGTTTTCTAAGTGACTCAATTACTACTCCTAATTAATGAAACGAAAACCAATTACTTGGCCCTTTCAAAATGTTTGGGTACGTTAGTTACCGGCAACGCCGCAAAGAGCTAAGCTAGTCTGTGCAGTTTTCTTCACCGCATCAACTCAAAAAAAAAACCATAAAATATTTGAAAATTTATTTCTTTAGCAAAAGTTTTTCAGCATTCAGGCGCCTCTAAAGCTGATGTACATATGGCGCTTTTATTATTTATTACTACTGTTACTACTGCTACTACTACTATTTCTACTACTACTTCTACTACTACTACTACTACTATTACTACTACTTCTTCTTCTACTACTACTACTACTTCTACTACTACTACTACTACTACTACTACTACTACTACTACTACTACTACTACTACTACTACTACTACTACTACTACTACTACTACTATTACTACTACTTCTTCTTCTACTACTACTACTACTACTTCTTCTTCTACTACTACTACTACTACTACTACTACTACTACTACTACTACTATTACTACTACTACTACTACTACTACTACTACTACTACTACTACTACTACTACGACTATTAATTAGAATTGAAATGAAGTGCGAAATTTTTAAAACCTTGCCTACATCTTGGAATGAATTGAAGAGACTATAAAACACAGGTATCAACCTGCCGATTCAAGATGTTCGTATCCATATCGGACAAGATCTCGTTAAACTCGGTTTCATGTTCGGAATGGACCTCGGCTTGGACTCTCACTTATGCAAAATATGACGTTGCTACTTTCTTAATAGATAAAATTCCAACTATAAGTAATGTTGGATATATCTCAAAGGTTGAGGGGTCCTATGTTCACAAATTGGTAAGGTTTTTTGTCTGTAGTGTACAATTTTGTTTGTGTTTTAATTATGAAAAGGGCCGGATTTATAGCAAAAAAGCCTCGGGCTTCCTCCAAAAAATACCCCACTAAATTATTGAGGGCCCCCACCTCTAGACTTGTAAACCGTTTATAACTAATGATAATAATTCGGTGATCAAGTAATTGTTTAATTGATTAATTAAACAATTGGTTAATTAAATAATGATTGGTTAATTATTTATTGAATTAATTATTAGCGGCCGGAATTGAGCAGAATGCAATTTGAACTAACAGTGTTTCGAAATTATAAGTTTCTCGTTAGTTCTACCTTAACTTTTTGATTTATTTTTTTTTTTCAAAATAAACGTTTATATTTTATGTTTTATAATAATTTACATATAATTTATTTGGTTTGCTAATATTATTTATTATGGACATTAATATTTTATTTTTCAAATTTCTAGAAAATTAGTGTTCACGCCACGATGGATACAATCAAGAATGAATTGATTGCGTGCAAAACCAACGACTCATCATTCGCAAAGGCATCCCAAGCACAATGCACAAATGACCACTTTAATTTTTTATAATTAACTCTAAATATAATCTATCATAACTATAATTAGTTATAATTAAATAATTAAGACTGATTGATTGTGGTTAATTTACTGATTAATCATATGCTTTAAAAAAATCTATTTGAAAATGATATTAATAAATGATAATATCTTCGTTGAATATTTGGATATAATATAATGTTATGGCTTACACCGCTTAAAATGAATAGAAAAAACTATATGATTTGGTATGGGTGTGTATTTATACATTGGCGTGTGTATATATTATATCTCTGAAAAGTGGTGCACTCTACTTAGATGTTAACAAGTATGTGTTTGCTATGTGTTGTGTGGAGAGAGAAAGAGAAAAAATAGGGAGAGAAAGAATGAAAAAGAGAGAAAGAAAAAAAGAGAAGAACAGAAAAAATAATGCAAGAGAAGAGAGAGAAAGAGAGAGAGAGGGAGAGAGAGAGAAAGAGAAGGAAAGATAGACTAATCGATGAAAAAAGATGTGAAAAGAGAGGAAGAAAAAGAGAGAAAGCAAGAGAAAAAGAGAGGGAGAGAAAATGAGAGAAGAGGCTTATTGAATTAAATCCAGAAAATCACAATCCACAATCAGAAAATCAGCGGACTATTCCGTCGATTCAACATACTATATTTCAAAACTTCGGGTTTTCTATTATATATGTGTATGTATATGGGGACAAGGGCGGTATATCAATGATGGATTCCAACAGCTTAATGGAACATGTACGCAATATCATAATGAACCCTTAACTAATTTGCTAATTACTTTTTAGCATAGTGCGCTAAATTACGATTACAATGTGCTTTTATATAGTAATAATCCTTATACATGTATGGTGTATGCAAAAATAAAATAAACATAGAACAATAAACATTTTGGATGTTGGCTTGGTATTTCTTTGGTTTTCCTTTTCCGTGTTTAGTTTTTCATAGGTGGTTTTTGCTTTGTTTTCGTGAAAAATAATCTATTTAATCCTCTTTTTTTTTAAATTCTAAGACATTTTTTCTATTTTATAATAATCTCCGTATTAGTTGGTTTTTCCGTCATTTTTTTTCTTATATTTTAGTTAAAATGTATCGGCAACATCTCATTTTTAAATGCACTAAACTTTTTTCCGATTAGGCAGCTATGAAGACGATAAATCAGAACCAGACCGTCAAAATTCCAGATGGAAGTAAGTTTTTGTGCTTTAAATTTACAATTGATTGCTTTTGAAAGTTAGTGATGATCCGGCATAATTTTTTTAGTGTTAGATTGTTTTCAGAACTTTTTCTTTCATCTTTGATTTGACTGAACTGAATATTTCAATTTTTATAATGGCAGTTTCGATTTCCGTGAAATCGAGAAAAGTAATAGTCAAGGGACCCCGTGGCACCCTAAGACGAAATTTCACTCACATGGCTGTAGATATCAGGAAGGTAAATGCCAAAGAAATTATGGTCGAAAAGTGGTTTGGTATCAGAAAGGAGTTGGCAGCTGTTAAGACAGTTTGTTCCCACATCGAGAACATGATCAAAGGAGTTACTAAAGTTAGATTATTTCACAAAACTAAAAATTGTATTTTTACTTTAAAACTGGTTGAACTTCATAAGAAATAACACCTATTTTTCAATTAATTTTTCTTAATATTTAGTTGGAAAATTAGTGTGTGCTCTCTTTGATCTTCACTTTTTTAGATATGGTCAAATAGTTTTAATTTTAAAATAATTTTAAACAACTCCATTGTTGAATAGGGATTCAGATACAAGATGAGGTCTGTCTATGCTCATTTCCCCATCAACGTTTCCATTTCTGAAAACAACTCCCTCGTCGAGATTAGAAACTTTTTAGGTGAAAAGATCAACAGGCAAGTTAAAATGTTGCCTGGAGTTACCTGTGTAGCCTCAAAAGACATGAAAGATGAGTTTATACTCGATGGTAACGACATAGAATTGGTTTCCAGATCAGGTTTAGATGTGTTTAAAATTTTATTTTCATTTGCTTGTGTTTTTGAATATAGTGGTTAAATATTTTTGGCACTTATTTGCCGTTTGATGTGCTTGTATTAACTAGTACACATCGAACTTTCCTTAGAGTGCTATATTATATTTTGTGGCTCATCAAATGGGTGGGTCTGTCTGTGACTGCCTTCAGTTGAATCACAAGACATTTGTTCGTTTCAATGTTTAATTAATTTTTAACATTTGTTGACTAATTAAAATGTTTAGTTTCTTGAAAATCTGATCATACAATTAAACTTTGTTTCCCTGATTCAGCTGCCCTGATCCAACAGTCGACAACGGTTAAGAACAAGGACATCCGAAAGTTCTTGGATGGTATCTACGTCAGTGAGAAGGGCACAGTGGTTCAAGAAAATTAAATTCATTTGTCACTTACTGTTTTCAAATTTTATGCTATCAAGTGTTGATGAAAGATGGTTCTGCCAATAAATTTGTTCCTACAAGAGTTGTTTCAATTGTCATATAATCGTTCGTAAATGATTTAACGTTCTTAAATTCGTTGACACGTTTGTCCAGCTAGTAAGATAAAGTTTCTTACCTGGTTAATGATGACGTCCCGGGCTGTCAATTCGTTTTAGTGAAATTTCGTGTAATCGACGTAAATACTTAAGTTAACTTTTAATAAATAGTACAGGTTACCTGGCGGATGTTACGTCACACGTGGCTGCTCTGAAAAATATAACTGTTTTGTTTATTTTTCAAGAAGCTGCCATTAATTTCGAAATCGGACGGGATAGTAAATAATTTGATCAGTTTTCTTCAATTGTTTTCGCGTGTTTTTCGTTTGAAAGCTTTTAGTGAAATAATCCGGTGTTTGTTTGCTGCTGTGCTGTGTTGGTTTTTTTTCTAATTTCATCTCATCATTGATTGCAGGTGAGAATGCCATTCATGTTTTATTTTTAATTTTTTTTGGCAAATTTTAATTATTTGATGTCACTAGTCTGGTAGTTTCGTTAATGAATTGAAAATTTGAGGTAAATTTAGAACTGATTTGCGATCTGGTGATGATTTTGTAAAACTAATTTTTAAATTAAAATTTAAAATTAAATTAAATTAAATGGATTCATTAAATTTAAAATTAGTCGGACCGATGCAAGTTTTGTTTAATTGACTTATATATAGTATATTATAAAGTTTATAAATCTTTAAAATTTAATTTTTAAAATAAAACATCTTCCGTTTATTTTATTAAATTGTTGTTTTATATCTTTTTAAAATTTAAAATAATGAATCTTTTTTACTTTGTGGTTGATAAATTAAGTTTCATCATAAATTATTTATTTCATGACATTTCATTACCAAAGATTCTCCAAATCAAGCCTCACCAATGAAGATGTCCACAGACTCGTCAACCACACACTCAGAAAGAAAAGTACCTCAGGATGAAATCGTGGCCAAGTTGAAGCTGGTTTCCCAAAGTTTGATCAGTTTAAAGGCTGACCATTCCCAGATGTTAAGTCAACTGACCAACACTTCGAAAGAAACCGATGAAAAAATGGTGAAGTTTAATCTCGAGAAAGAAGAAACTCTTAGGAAAATTATTACAAATCTTGAGATGGGAGTGGAGGAGTCACATGTTGGTTGAGTTTTGTTTCATTTTAAATTTCACAAATTTTTGAAAATTCATGTTTCTGTGTTTTTTTTTCTAAATATTTCACATTGGCTGATATATATTACATTCCTATTTCTATTTTATCAAAAAAAATTTTAAATTTTCAAATGTGTTTCAAGTTAACATTTGTTTTACTGTATTCATATTTATTTCAAACATTTGTTCTTTTTTTAAGTCAGTTACACCGTATTAAATTCAAATAACCCAACCAAATGTATTGATGCTACATTCACTTAACTACATTTTAAGTCAACTTTGGCAAGAAACAAACACATAATAAGAAGGAAAATTGTAACTCCCTGGTTCAAACTAGTCCTAATCCACTCCCTGACTCAAACCAGCCAACCATTTTTACCCCCTATCAACTCAAACCAACCGACCATGGCAGATAATGGTTGCCCTAGCTAACCATCTACAATATATCGAGTCCGAAAAACAGAAACTCCGTGCACAAGTCAGAAGACTCTGCCAAGAAAATGCCTGGTTACGAGAGGAGCTGAGTACGACGCAGGAAAAGTTGCAAAAGAGTGAACAGAGAGAGGCTGCCCTCGAAGTCGAGAAGAAACAACTTGAATTCATGAGCGAGATGAAGAAATATGATGCCGATAATGTTCAGGTGTCTGTCTGTGTGTCTGTCAATGTGTCTGTCTATTTGTCTGTGTGTCTGTCTGTTTATCTGTGTATTTGTTAATCTTCTTTTTGTCATTTTTATTTACAAATTTTTCTCTTTCATTCATATAGGTGGACAAGGATGAGAAGAAAGAAGACCCATCCACTCCAAATTTAGATCTGGGATTTCCCGATGATGATGATGATCCTCAACCAGAAGGTTTCACTATTTTTATCATTATTATTCTTATTAGTAGTAGTAGTATTAATAATAATTATAAAATAGAATTATTATAATTGTGGGTATTTTTTGCCCCTTTTTATGCATGCACTTATTCAATTCAATTTTCTTTGTTTATGTATATTCAAGTTTCTTTATGTGTGTGT